CCTATCATCTCTGTAGGAGCTTGAATCCTTCTTATACAGGAATCTAGGTTACATAAAAGTTTGTACATAACTTTTTGAGATAACCATACCTTAACACAAGGATTATCAGAACAAGGCTAGGAAAACACACAAGTTGGGCCAATACCGGGGTTACAGTTTGCTATAATTTGAATTCCATGCACACCACATTATGTACCCTTCTTACTGTCTATTATTCAAATTTGAACATTAATTCCCGCAGGTAGACAAATACCTTTTGCTTCTATTTTTTAGCCAGATTACTAGACCTTTTTTATTGAAACAAACAAAGCAGTCCTTGCAGTTTAATACTAGCATAGTAAGTAGGAGCATTCTTCATTACAAGAACATCTTGGATTTAAAACCCAGCTCAACCATGAATCCTTGGGGATCCTTTTGCAATAAATAAATAAACAACGAGGTGAACCTCAAACAGGCACCAAGGAAGGAAGGAAAGTAAGTTTGAATTGCCCAAAGCATCAGTGTTTTACTGAGCCGGCAACTGTATCTTTTGCTCTGGTGCAATAATTTTCTTGCCACAGGAGAACCTGCTTGCTATTGCCCCAATAAAGATTACATCAAAATACCTTGGCAACTCTGCAGGTTCTTTCTTGGCACCAATCCATTTCTTTTCTTCACTTGTGAATCGTTTTGTTGCAATTTTTTAACAGTAATGAAGTTGCTGCTTCTTAGCCTTAGTAGTTTATTACCCATTAAATATACAGAGCAAACAGTACAGGTAGTCCTCAACTTACGACCAAAACATTCTCAAATTTATGTTGCTAAGGGAGACATTTGTTAAGTGAGTTTTGCCCCATTTTATGACTTTTCTTGCCACATTTGTTAAGCGAATCACTGCAGTTGTTAAATTAGTAACAAGGTTCCTAAGTGAATCTGGCTTCCCTGTTGACTTCACTTGTCAGAAGGTCACAAAACTGAAACTGTCATAAATGTGAGTCAGTTGTCAAGCATCCGGAAGTAAATCATATGACCGTGGGGGTGCTGCAATGGTCATAAGTGTGACAAATGGTCGTAAGTTACTTTTTTCAATACTGTTGTAATGTTGACCATCACTAAGTGAACTGTTATAAATTGAGGACTACCTATGCTTTTTTTTAACCTATTAAATATCGGGGGGGGGGGAATACTGGCCTACCTTGCCTACATAAGCTCTGTGTGCAGTAAAAAAAACAGCTTTACTCTGATGTAGATAACAGATAATCAGAGTTGGAAGGGACCTTGTAGGTCATCTAGTCCAACCCCCCGCCCAAGCGGGAGACCCTACACCATTTCTGACAAATGGCAGTCCAATCTCTTCTTGAAAGTCTCAACTGATGGTGCTCCCACAACTTCCGAGGGCAAGCTGTTCCATTGGTTGATTGTTCTCACTGTCAGAAAGTTTCCCCCTATTTCCAGGTTAAATCTCTCCTTGTTCAGTTTCCATCCATTATTCCTTGTCTGGCCTACAGGCTATGTGGTCCTCATCATGCTAATTCTGGAACTCACTGAGAAAATAACTCATATCTTCCATTCTTTCTTCTCAGGAAACATCACTAACCCCAACGTACTCCCATTTATCAAACTCACCTTCTCTTCCAGTTACACATATACTTCTCAACTGTACTGATAATGAAAGTTAAATCCAACCAAGAACCCTGGAACCCTGGGTATAATTTGTCCGAATGCCAAAACATAAAAAAAATCAAAACTGAGAAAGAATATGTGAACTAGGACCAATCAATAAAATACTCAAGGTGATTTTATAGATAGATAAACAAAACATGGCTGGAAATATTTTACAAAAGCAGAGACTGATCACTGGACAGATTATTCCAGACATGAGACTTAATATTCGGTGTCAGTTTTTGTATCAGCATTTGGAATCATTTCCCCAGGAAATTTTTTTTTAATCCTTTACAGGAGACAAGGCTGTGTGCTTTAATCAGATAAGATGAAGAAGGTATTTTTATAATTACAGACCAGCAAATCAAACTGTGGAAAGAACAGAACTCCCAACTGTTGGAAAACAGACAGGAAATAGATATAATTTCTGGCATGTTTTGGTTCTTGCTGCTTTTACTATGAACAATACATGTTGTGGTGTTTGAAATCTGGATCATCTCAGTTGGTCTGAAGATGGAGCTATTCCCATTTTATATTCTCCTCTGTATATAAAAACAAATATTAAAATTGTCCACCAGGGAATTGGTTTTAGAGAGTCTTTTATATGTCACAATATTATCTGACTTTTTTTTCACTATTTAAAAATTTTACTGGCCACCCATGGTCCCAAATTTTGTGACTTCTGGCTTTTCTTCATAAGCTACAATTCCACATATTAGCAACATGTGGCACATTTGTGCTTCATTCTCCAAATCCTTCCTTCTCCCACAGGTCTACCTTACTTAAAATAGCAATAGCACTTAGACTTATATACCGCTTCACAGTGTTTTACAGCCCTCTCAAAGCGGTTTACAGAGTCAGCATATTGCCCCCAACAATTTGGGTCCTCATTTTACCCACCTCGGAAGGATGGAAGGATGAGTCAACCAGAAGCCTGGTGGGATTCGAACTGCCAAACTGCAGTGGGAGTAGCTTGCAACTGAGGCTCTCTCTATTTTGTGTATGTATGTATGTATGTATGTATGTATGTATGTATGTATGTATGTAGGTCTAGGTGTGTTCGGGTCTTTTCTCGTGTAAGATTAAGAGTATCTTGGCGACATTTCGGCGAGGTCCCACTCGCCATCCTCAGGCTGGTGCTTTCGGCTTCATGCCAGTGCAAACACTGCTTGCACTGGCACGAAGCCGAAAGCACCAACCTGAGGATGGCGAGTGGGACCTCACCGAAACATCACCAAAATACTCTTAATCTTACACGGGAAAAGACCCGAACACACCTAGACCTACATACCTGTACCCGTGAAAATCTACATACATACATACATACATACATATATATGTATTGTGTTCGTCTGGACGAACACACACACACACACCTGATGATGGCAGATGAGATTCTGCTGAAACGTTGCTACAACTTTAAAAGCACAACTATAATGACGTGGGAAAATACCCGAACAAGCCTGAATACTATATACAGATATAGATAGATAGATAGATAGATAGAGATATATGACAGGAGCTCTACAATTGGGAGGGGGGAGGAGGCAGGCAACATGCCATATTCTATAGACATGGGGCTGCCACGATGAAGATTTGCTTCCAGGTTCAGCCCCTCTTAAAGTATCCTTCATGTGCTGCAAAGCAAGAGTATAAGAAAAGTCCTAGTTTAGTTAAGCCATGTAGGTGACTCCAAACTGTGCAAGATAGCTAACTCTGTAGTTTATGCATTTTCAATACCTGCGCAGATTCTTTCAATCGAAGACAGAGAGGTATCCACAACGGTGCTTTGAATGTCTGTTCCTGCTTTCTTCTTCACACGTTCTCCAAATACACAGGAAAAATAACCCATGTGAGTTTCACTGAATGCCTTCACCAGCATCTGACTGCTGATTCTCATGTATACAAGTAGGCAAGAGACGGTAACCCTAAAATCTATATTGTACAGTAGAATTACAGAACTTTTTTTTAAAAGGGGGCAGATCTCAAAGCAATCTGCCATGAGATTTAACCACATCCATTGACCATTAAGTCATTAAGTGCTCAGTGAATGTGGGATTCTATGTCCCTTAAAGGAAGCTTGTGAAGGCAAGATTAATAATTTATCCAAGAATGTATTCATTCTATTAAATCAATTTAGATGGCGCCCAACTCACACACAGGTGACTACCATGTTCACAAGAAGCTAAATAGTTGGGTTAAATCTCTATTTCCTTGCATTCTTAAAGGAGGTAACGTTGCTTATTTGGTATGTGGGCAGTTGGAGGGAAATGATTAACTTCAGAAAATATGCACACATGATATTTCCAGATGACAATATTCCTAGTTTACACCTTGTAGGTAAAACAAAAAGTGTCTGAAGCAGCCCTAAGAATGTAATTTTAATTGAATGACAGAAATTTTACCTTTTCAGCTGAAAACACTCATCTTTAAATTTAAATGAACTCCTTGAACAACACATTTTCATAAGCAATTCCAAACTTCAGTTGTCTGATAAATCTGTTAGATGTATATTCTATGCACACATCCTAGATTCCTTTTATAATTATTTCAAACTAAAATACCATGCTGCATCTAAATACTGAAATCTAAAAGGCGCACCTCATCTCTGTAAATGCAATTGTCCCAATACTATTGATACTCGGAGCATACAAAACTCAGGGGGAAATCTCAGTGGGGTGGAGTAGGGCAGGAAAATTAGGAGTGGAGAAACTCTGAAGTTTTTTCAGGGATTCATCTGAGCGTTTGCATCATTCTAAACCTGTTTATCTCTTCAAGGTTACAGCCACGGAATTTAGAATTATACTCACTGTTTCTTCTATGGTAACTTTTTATTTCTAACGCTTATCCTAGAAACTAACTACCGTAGATTAAAAAAAAAAAAAAACCCTAGAAGCGAAATTAAACAAAAGTTAGCGTTTTTCATGCAGAGCTAGGCTACCTACACATTAAAAAAAACAAAAACAAAACCACACACACAAGAAGCATTCTTCAGGAAAGCTTTATCCCCAAGAGCCCAAGAAATGAACATTCAAGACTTTCTCCCCAGCCGATGCCTGCTTAAACCTGTTGCTTGGCACGCGACTCTTAAGCACCGCCGAGCGAACGTCCAACAACAACAACACCACAACAAGTCTAGGAGGAAAGCAGCAACAAAGACTTTCAGCTCGGTGCTTAATCGCAAGTTTTACAAAAGCGTGCTGGAAAGGGGGGAAAGGCGCCCTTCGTTCTCCCGGCCGATCGTGTGAAACGTGGATTACACGCCGCGCGCGTGCACGTGTCTGCACGCGTATAAAATATGTATATGTGTGTGTGTGTGTGAGAGAGAGAGAGAGAGAAATCCAACTGCTAGTACTTACGGCCAAGTCCTGCGTGCGGAGCGGCGAGTAGCCGACGAAGTGGGGGGAGGGGAGCGTGTAATTAATTTGACTCTTGACAAGCGCGGCCGCTCCTGTTTCTCGGGCGCGGCTACTACTAATCTCGGCGCTTCTCCTCCCCCCCCCTTAAGGAACTCAAAAGGAGTCAACCTGGATCCTCTTTAATGGCGAGGTACCTTCCACCCCTCAACAAAGAAGGGGAGCCGGTGGGACTGGCGGAGGGCGGAAATTCAGCCTCGGCAGGCGCCCTTCTAGCTGGCCCTTTGGGATTAAGGGTGAGCCGGGGCGGTCAAGCCCTCGGCCTGGCGAATCGGCCGCCAATCGCGACGCTGCTCCTGCCATCCTCACTCTCCCTCCCCCCCGCCCCACCGCCGTCGCTCGGTGGCGCCTTCCAAAACCGATTGCTTGTAAACAGCCGAGAGGGCGGCTTTGTAGCTCTATCAAAGGAACCCCACGTGGAGAGGCGTCCTCCGTCTCCCCCAAAAGACGGAGTCACCCCGAGAAAGCCCAGCGGCCCCGCTTCCTTGAACAGCGGCACACATCCCGCCCTTTGGGGGGTGAATGGCGGTGAGAGGGTTCGTCAGCCCAAGAGAACGCGCAGCTACTATAGTTACAGTTCAGGTCGATGCGCCCGATACCTGGAAAGCTCAACCAGCAACGTTGGAACCTGGGCACAGCCGAGCCCAGAAACAGCCCCTTTCCACTTTTCAAGGGGCTTCGTAGCGGGGACCCCCCCACTCTTTCTGCCAGGAGCTGAGGAAAGGTTGGAGGAGAATCGCTGAAGGAGGTGTGGAGTGGAGCTGGAGACGCGTTTGCTGAGGACTAGCGCCTCGCAGTAGGTTTTTAGTCCTTAGTCCGGTGATTCAGACTTCATGATTGGAGTGGGTGACTCATGAGTCAACTCATACATGGATTCATTTGTGTGGCGGGCAAAAAAACAAACAAACAAACAAAAAACCCAAAGGAGGCTAGGCTAAAGTCACCAGCCAATACAAAAATGGGGTAGGAGGGCAAAAAGGGAAAATTTATCCTTTTAAGACAAATGAAAAATGTAGTAGCTGAGAAAGCAGAGGTTGGCTTGGGGATCACTGGCTTACAGTTTTCAAAAGAGTAAGTGTTACTTGCTGGGTGGAGATTTGTCTGTTTATTTAAAAGCCACCCAACTTGGTGCTAACAACAATTTAAAATAACAGTGACATAAATAACATAACAAAAGCCAATGTAATGCCATGTCTCCATAGATAAACTCAGACCCCACCAAAACATGACCAGTCATGCTGACCAAAGTCCTGGCCTAATATACAGGTAGTCCTCGACTTACAACAGTTCATTTAGTGACCATTCAAAGTTACAACCAGCTAACCAGTCAGGTGTCAGTGGCGTTTCTGCCTAGCATTCAATGCCTCTTGGTCTAACTACAGGTACTCCTTGACTTACAACCACAATTGAGCCTGAAATTTCTTTCGCTCAGGGAGGCATTTGTTAAGTGAGTTTCTCCTCCCCTCCCCAATTTTACGATCTTTCTTGCCACCGTTGTTAAGTGAATCATTGCAGTTAAGATAGTAACAAGGCTGCTCAGTGAATTTGGTTTCTCCATTGACTTTGCATGGTCAGAAGGTCGCAAAAGGGGATCCCATGACCCTGGGTTACCGCAACCGTCATAACTATGAGTCAGTTGCTAGGGGGCTGAATTTTGATCATATGACATGGCGATGCTGCAATAGTCGTAAGTGTGAAAAACAGACTGTTGTAAGTTGAGGACTGCCTGTAAAGTTTGCACTCTGCATCGCTGCCAACTCATCAAAAGAATACATTCCATTCTATCTCCATCTTGTTACCACCTCTGTAAACAGAGGGGAACAAAACAAAACTCTTGGGTGCTAGGCTGCACCTTTCTCACCCAAAGGTGATCCCATGACAGCCAGCAATCATCCCTCAACATTAACCCAAACCAGTCCAAACCAACAATTCCAAGGCCGGAGCTTCTCCTCACCAGTTTTCCGAGAGATGGTGATACATCACTCCAGAGCCACATAATGGTGGAATACGTAGGACAGATACCAGCCTTTATAAATCCCTCAGTTCCGCGAATCAAATGAAATGGACAACATAAATCGGTCACCAACCAGCAGAACTGGTGACCCAACTGCCAAGTTGACCTGCTCTAATATGTGCATTGTACTCTCCCCTATTCAAAATTCATTGCGCTGGGCATTTGCTTCACATGTCCCATGTATAGGTCCCATCAATCGAAGTGTGTAATCGATACACAACAGGATTGTGAAAAATCACATGCTTCAGTTATACTAAACCTTGGGAAAGAAAAGTGGTCCACATTCTGTATTTAGAACTGCTGTGGATTAGGTTCTAGAATGGAGTCCATTTTTTTTCCTTCAGCTCCAAATTTCTTCAGCTGTGTGCGAGCGATGTCAACAAATGTTGGAAGGTGTCATTACCAGAAGTGTTCTTTAAGTAGAGGCCATTATGAAAATACCCACATTTCCTCTCAGAAGTCAGCCCTGAAGCTTAATCAGAAAAAATTGGAATTAATTTAATTCTTCTGCTGAGGAAATATCATTTACACAATGACACCAATTTTCCTTGAGTGTATGCACACATTACACAGGAATCACACTTGACATTCTTTGCTTGTTACACACTGTAATAAAGATCAACAATAAGGCATTTATATGAAGTTGAAAAAGATTGCTTGGTTTGGAGTCCTTGGTGCGGTCTGAGCTTAGTTGTTTGCCTGCATGTGTTTCATTACCCAACTGGGTAATTATTATCAGTGCAACTGAGTGGGGCTTGCTCTCTGTTTCTATACAGTAACTTCCCTTTGACCCTTCTGTGGAGAAAATCGATGGGATGTTGTAAGATGGGAAAATGGGAAATGAGCGGAGGAATGATAGAAATATGTAAAAACATAGATGCTCTAGAGCAGGGCTGTCAAACTCGCAATCCACAGGCCTGATGCGTCGTGTGCTGGCCACGCCCATGCCCGGTTTAGCAAAGGAGAAAAAAAGTTCATGATATGTCACGGGACGATGCTGTGATGACGCGAGTTTGACACCCCTGGCTTAGAGAAAGTGGCTAGAGAAATATTTTTTTCTTGCTCTGGCAAAGTAGAATTCAGGAGTATTGAATATTGAAACTAAACGGAAAAATAGATAAAAACTTGGTTCGTACATTGATTTAAATTATGGCTTCTTTAACCATGATTTACTCAGCGTATCACAGTTGGCAGGATTCACATGCGATACGCCATAAATATTAGTCACGTAATATTTTAAGTTGAGGATAGATTATGGCAAGGGTCCATACTCCCAGGCCCTGTCCCACTATTGGGCCGTGAGCTCGTTGCAATTGGGCCGTGAAAACGGCAGGTGAGCGCTGTGTGCATCCCCACTTGTGTGAGCAGCGGGCAAGCATGTGCACATGCATTCCATTTGTTTGAATGCTGGGCACACATCCCCGCCACTCGCGCAAACGGAACGGCACATGTGCTTGCCAGTCACTCGTGTGGAACCATCACCTCTCTCAACCCCGCTGGAAAGATTGGGGAACTCTGGATTTTGGCTTTGTGTAATGTTTGAATCCAGCTGTTAGGAAGTACTTCTTCACATAACAGTTAATTTGTTAGTGGTAGAAAAAATATATATACAATAATACATTTATTGTAAGACTTTTAATTATTGCGACATGTTTATTTTCCTGGAAGCTAATTTAAGAGAAATCTTGACTTGTCATTGTCATCAGCCATTCAGTCAGGTCCAACCTTCAGCCACTTTATGGGTCAGCACCAGTGGTGGGATTAATTTTTTTTTTTACTACCGGTTCTATGTGCGTGGCTTGGTGGGCATGGCAAGGAATGATACTGTAAAACCTCCAGTCAGAGGTGGTATTTGCCAGTTCTCCAAACTACTCAAAATTTCTGCTACTGCTTCTCCAGAACTGGTCAGAACCTGCTGAATACCATCTCTGGTCAGCACTTTCCATATCCCTCTGTCTCACCCCACTTCCTTCAGATCCGTCATGGTCATTTTGGTGTCATCCTTTATAGTGTCCACCCATTGGATACTAGGGCCGCCCCTTCTCCTTTTTCCGCTAATCACTCCCAGCATGACTGACTTTTCAAAGTGAGTCCATGGCCAAAACATGGTAGCCTTTGTTTGATAATCTTGCCTCTGAATGACATTTTTGTTTTCTTGATGTTAAGGTGCAGACCAAATTTGTCACTTTCATCTTTGACTCTTAGGATTAGCCACCCCAAATCTTCGTTGCTTTCGGCGAGCAAAATTGTATCATCCATATATTGGAGGTTTGTGACAGTCCTACTTAATCTCAATGGCAGATTCCTCCAAAGAATGCATTTCTCTTAACTATTTATGTCAAGGGTCTTCAAACTTGGCAAGTTTAAGACTTGTGGACTTAAACTTGAACTAACATGACTGGAGGAGGAATTCTGCGAATTGAAGTCCACAAGTCTTAAAGCTGTCAAGTTTGAAGACCCCTGATTTATGTGAACGTGTTGAATATATAGGTGACAGGATGCAACCTTGCAGAGTGCCTTTTCCAATTCTGTGTCTCCATATTCCATTCTTACAGTGGCTGCTTGAATGAGCTGGATGTGGTGTGGTGATATTCCCAGTTCTTTGAGGCAGTTCCAGAGCTTGTCATGGTCAACACAGTCAGAAGCATTTGTGTATAAAATGAATCACATATGTAAAGGTCTTTTGGGTACTCCTTTGCTTTTTCCATCATCAGCATAGATTGGCAATATGATCACATGCATTCATCTTCCTTTACGAAATCCTGCTCTCTATTGGCAATTGGATTCAAATGTTGCTGGATGATTTTCAAGAGAATTTTACTCATGTGTGTATCAAAGCTATGGTTCAATGGTTGGAACAGGCTTTTGTATCACCTTTCTTTGCTATTGGGATAAATATTGACCTTTTCCACTCTTTTGGCCAATGACCAGACTTCCATACATTTTGGCGTGGTGCTGTTGGTGCTTTTGTTGGCAGCAGTCACAGCAACTCTGCTGGAATTCCATCAACTCCAGGAGCTTTGCATTTAGGGAGCTGGTTTGAGTGCCCACATTACTTCCTTCTCCAGGATATCTGGTAGTTGCTTTTTTTCTTACAACTCGGCCTTGTTTTTCCGTTTGTGTAAAGTTATACTGCATATTCCCGCCACTTTTCTTTGATTGCTTGTTAGTCATGCAATTCTTGCCCCTCACATCCTCTGGCCATAGCCTTTTTTTGCTGTAAAGCAGGGGTGTCAAACTCGAGGCCCGCCGGCCT